GGATCCATTGTTTTATAAACTTTGGTGAAATGTGTGATGATTTTTCAAACCCATCCAAATTACATTTCATGAGTCCCAGCTCTAGCCCAGTTAGTGGTATGCCTCTGTCGCAATCAATCTTTGTCAAATATAATCTAACTAAAAGTAACTCGTACCTGAACATATGATGTAACATAAGTGAAAAATGATGGATTTGAGAGGAGGGAATTCAATATAAATGATTTTGAGAGGAATGTTGGTAGTCATTGGATGAGTCTATTTAAGACCGGATGGACTTATTAAATTTTGCCCTTGTTATATATATTAGATAATCTCACATACCACTTTCTATGTGTGTCACTATTAAAAGTCCAATTATAAAAAAATTCAAATAATTCTCNATAATGGTTGTAAATACAACACAACCCTTGGAGCTATTGAGATTGTTCATTTGGTGTTACAAAAAAATGGGTTGCTTATGAAACACCACAAAAGTGATTTCATTAGAATATATTCTTAGTTCGCGAGTGAGTGGTATTTGACTTTTGATATTGGTGCAGATGGTTCACAAGGGCAATAAAGGCATTTGCAATGGTAGAATCGGAAGCAAATAAGCTCAATTATCCAAATATTGGGACTCCATTCTTCTGATGCAAATATCGATTGGGACTTAGAAAGACATACTTTCCCATTATAAAAATGCTTCATGGATACCTCCACTTTTGGCTGGTTAATTACATTTTTTTTTCTTTTTTTTTTTTCCAATTATGTCTCCTTTGAATATTCTTCTTATTGAAGCCTTGATCTGTCGCTTTCTTTTGAAACTCCACAGAGAAACTTCAAGCACAAATGAAGGTTACAACTCTAACTTTGGTTAGTGAATTTATTTTAATTAAACACTAAAAATTGTATTTGTATTACTCATAGGCAAAGACAATGCTCCAATCAAATTGAGTGTGTGAAAGACTATTCCCCTTGTTGAAGGTATATGTTTTTGGAACTGACATAGATGTAATAATTGGTAGCTTGACCTAATCAGTTTTTATACGAATATACCGTTGGAGATGGCCTGACTCTTGATACTGGTTTCATATATTATACCATGTTCCAGCAATAGAAAGGATGAAATTTTTAATCTTAAACAAGATGAGCCAAAAAAAAAGAGAAAGAATTTGCCGAGTTATAAAGCATGAACTGCATATTTCCTACCAACGCTAATAGAAGAAAGAAGACAAACCACACAAAGTGTCATTGCCAATTACAGTTGAGATGATGATTGATGAGCAGTGATTTTTTGGTATACTCTGATGAGCAATGGTTGGTAGTCTAATGGTTAGAGAAATATGGGTTAGTAGTTGTATTTCACATTTTTGGCACCAATTTCTTCATTTTTAGTAATTATGGCCCTTTTTCCCATAAAATACAAGAATGTTTTGTACCAGTTGCATGCACGGCCGCATGAATTGATTCAAACCCAAATAAGCAAAAAAATTTAAAAAACAATACATGGAATGATAAATAGTTACAATATTTGTTCTTAATTTTTATAATATAATTATGTGCCTACACTTTCTGTTAATTTGATTTGACCTAATCTTTGAAGATAGATTTATATATAAATTTATTTTAATAAGTTGTATGAATTATAACTCATATATATAACTAAAAATTATTCACGTGCAACACACGTATGCAACAACTAGTTAGCAAGTAAATCCCACTAAAACTCATAACCACCCAACCATTTATAATTATAACAATATAAAACAGGGCAAGTTTCAATAAATCCATTCGACGGTCTCAAATAAACTCATCTAACAGCCATCAACGTTCCTCTTAAAACCATTTACATTACACTGTATCTTCAGGCACAACTTACCCCTAATTATAAAACATAACATAATCATTTCTATGATAGAAAATGTGTTCTCTTTTATCCATTTTATTCTTTTCTTATTGGATAGTTAAACTATGTCAGCAATGGTATAACAGTTCCACATGACGAACCCATATTTAGACCAAACTTGGACCTAATTCATGGGTTAAGCTCAGACCATCAAAAGCAGATCAGACTTAGCTCATGACCTTAGTTCAATTTAGAGATCAAGAGTCTAGGGGGAGTAAATGTACATGGGAGAGCAATTATCGAAATAGTCATTACTTCAAGATAGTGCATATCCCTAATTGTAGCTTTCCTCCTCGATAAATTAGTACATTGACCCTCACGTCACCACTTCAACTAAAGCTCTGTACCTATAACTTATAAGCCTTTTACACATAGGAGTATGAAAGAACATACACCTCACCTTGAGCATACTCTCTCTCTCTCTCTCTCTCTCTCTCTCTTACTAGATCCAAATGCTTTCAATTCTTTCTTTCATTTGTCAACTCAGTGTAGTTGTCTTGTTAAACACAATCCTAGCATGTCCAATGATTCCCTTTTTTCTTATTCTTACCTTCGCAACATGCGATGGTGATAAGTGCAAGACACATGAGGTATCACCTTGTTTACCTTATGTTCNGAAAATATTTAATATTTTATATTTGATTGAAGTATTTTTGGTTAAGTATAACATTTTAAATTTGAGGGNCTTATTCTTACCTTCGCAACATGCGATGGTGATAAGTGCAAGACACATGAGGTATCACCTTGTTTACCTTATGTTCCCCTACCCCCTTCGATTCATAAAGAAACGAGGAATCCATGTGAAGCATTGGAGGGCGATCAAAACTTGAATGATACGTTACTTAATCCAGCTCACCCAATGGATCCATCTCTTTTTTGTGTGCTCTCTCTTCTATAATTAAAAGTCTTGTAATCTCTCATTAATAGAGTTCTCTAGCCACCATTGTCATCTTTGGTGGTTAGGTCCCTAGACTGAATCACCTAATCTTTGTCCTTTATCATTAACTGTTTCATTAATTACTTTATATCAGACGCAAATTGATTTGGTTGTGTATAAATTCACTTTTGTGCGTCAACACATAATATTTACACAGTAGGGGTTTTTTAGAAAATTGAATTAGACTTGAAAAAAAAATATATTAACCCAATTTNTCTTATGAGATTTGTGTATAATATTTTAAATATTAGGGAGTCTGAGTGATTAAGTGATAAATCTCAAGAGGTCTAAGTATAATTCTCCAAATTTATTATTCATGATAGGTAGACATAAAATCTTTGATTTTCTATTATATTAGGTTCGGTTTTAGTTGTTAAGATTGATGGTCTTGAGTTTGGTCGGTCGAATCTGTCGGCACACTCTTTTTGACAGCTATTTGGGTTTGGGGCGTCTTAGATTGCAAATGTTATTATTTTTTGGTGAAGTTTAAATATGCATTTTTGAATCAATTTATTCTGATCGACTACTGCTTGCCATCCAAAGAAATTCACTGATAGACTCCAATAAATATAATGGTAGATGCTTAAAGATAATAAAAATCAACAAACTTAAAAACTAAGTGAATCCAAATTCATTCGTTCAAACCCTTGTGGTCCGAGGAACATAGAATCTATATTTTAATAAGTTTCTTTCTCTATTGTTTTGATTTNACTCTAGCCCAGTTAGTGGTATGCCTCTGTCACAATCAATCTTTGTCAAATATAATCTAACTAAAAGTAACTCGTACCTGAACATATGATGTAATATAAGTGAAAAATGATGGATTTGAGAGGAGGGAATTCAATATAAATGATTTTGAGGGGGATGTTGGTAGTCATTGGATGAGTCTATTTAAGACCGGATGGACTTATTAAATTTTGCCTTTGTTATATATATTAGATAATCTCACATACCACTTTCTATGTGTGTCACTATTAAAAGTCCAATTATAAAAAAATTCAAATAATTCTCGATCAAAAATTAAAAAAAAAAACATGAATTATTTTTTCTTACCATATCAATTAAACAAATTCTTTCTGTCATGCATGACAGACAAATTTATTAGGGAGAATTACGCCCACATTCATTGACGTTTGTCACTTAATTNGGCAAAAAGGCAAAGATTGTGTGGTTGGGCCGAGGTGACATAACCATTGAAGACAGCGACGGTGGGCGAAAAACTTTATTAACAAAGTAATAGGTGGGGGAGAAAGAGCAAGAACAAGCTCTAAGTGTAGTGAGGTAGATATATGAGAGATATAGCTGTGTGGGAAATGTATCTCATGTGTAGAGGGCTTGCAATTTATAGACACAAAGTCTTAGTTAAAGTGGTGACATGAATGGTAGGTTACTAGTCTTTCGAGGAGGATATCTACAACTAAAAATAGGTACAATTTAGGATATGCGTGATCTTCGAGCAATAGCTATTTCGATGATTGCTTCCCATGTGNTAAAAAAAATCGTAGTTAGTATACAATTATACTATCTATTAAAATAAAACTAAAAAAAAATAAATCAAATAATGGGTCTAAGTCATTCATAATAAAAAATAAATTTTATNAATAGGTACAATTTAGGATATGCGTGATCTTCGAGCAATAGCTATTTCGATGATTGCTTCCCATGTGCGGTCATCTTCCTCGCTCTCTTGAACTCTGGACTGAGATGAGGCCATGAGCTGGGCTTAACCTACCTTTTAACTGATTTGGGCTCACCCCATGAATTGGGCTGGACCTAGTTAGGTATTGGCTCATCATTTACCCCCATGCTCCAAGCCCCAGTTGTAACAAAAAGGGTTGAGGGTATGAGTGAGCCCTTCATCTGGATAGGCAAAAGGTTTCTTGTTCGACATGATAGTAGCTTCTTCACTTCCCCTATCTTGTGGCTGAGCACCCACTGGGTCATCACCAGGTCANTTTCCCCTATCGTGTGGCTGAGCACCCACTGGGTCATCACCAGGTCAGAGGGAATTCCATATTTTGGACCCCCTTCCTCCCATTTAAGGCATTTTCCAAGGGTTTCAAGAGGTCATATATATAGATCCTAGAACCACTTACTTTCCTTATTTTCCATTATACTTAGGATTAGGCTAAACACATCTCTTCGCTCTCATAGATCACAAAGAGCTTCACCAAGAAGATGGAGATGGAGATCAGAGATACATTGACGACATCGTTTGAAGCCACAATAACAGGGTCGCAGATGAAATTGGGCATTGGCGATACCTTGTCAAGGTCTGGCAAAGATCCACCCATGGTGGCGCCAATCATTAAGGGCGATGACCAGCTCCACGGGGGTTGCACTAGAAATGAGGTAGACTCCAGCACTAAGTGCAATAGATGGCTAGGCAACACCAACAGAGAAGAGGAGGGCGATGCCTGGGCAGAGGCAGCGTTAAGCATGAGCTGATAGGCAAACTCAGCAGGGGGCGATGCCCTAGGTAGAGGCGGCACCTGGCGTGACGCATTGATGGGCGGCGCTAAGGGAGGCTAGGAAGGCGCTGTTTTTTGTGGTTTGGTATCTGGAAAGGGCGAAGCCAATGGGCGTCCCGCAGGAGGTGGTCGATAGTTTGGGTGACATGCTTGACGTTGAAGACGACCATGGTGACGCTGTTGGCGTGACTGGTGGCTTGGACAGCGCCCCAAGAGCTGCTGATGGAGGTAGAAGTAGCGTTGACACTATGGGCGGCGATCTTGTCCACACAAGGCAAGGAGGCAAGGCCTTAGGTGCAAGCTACGCGTTGGGTGTTGGTACAAGAGGCACACGTGAAGTGCTGAATGACCTGGCCTTAGGTGGGTAGCTCTCAGGCATCAGTGGAGGTCAGCTAGTAGGTTTGTTGGCATTTATCTTGACATTGAATCTTTGACTTTATCTTGACATTGGCTCTGATTTTTGGTAGGTGCCCACTCTGAGAAAGGCGTAAAAAAGGGTACTACACCAGATTTAGAGCGAGGCAAGAGAATTGCAAACAATGATGGTTCGAAGGTATCCTCTATTTTTAACTCCATAGATTGTGACAATAGTATTGCCAATATTGTCTCATTTTTCCATATCTCTCCTACTGTACTATGTCACCGGGCTGAAGAGGATGAGCTGACGTGTTTTGACTCCTTTAGGGAGATTATTTTTTATGAGGATGTCCTTGAGGTGGGATTGAGGTTTTCCATGCCTAGGCCTATCTGTCAGATTTTAGGCCACTTATAACTAGCTTCGGGGAGATTGACTACCAACGATTGGAGAGTAATTCTAGCATTTTTCTCACTATGGCGATTAGTCCATGATGAGGATGTTTCTCCCCTTTTTGAGGAGTTCTTTGATTCGTATGCGCTTCTGGATAATCCTACTCCACATCAGGGGTGGTACTATTTTGCTCCAAGGTCCAGTAAGTTTAATACTGGACTTCCTTCAAATTGTCATAGTTGGAAATCTAGGATTGTCTTTGTTGGAGCTGAAAGGGTTGCTAAGGAGGATTGTGACTTAGTGCCTTCGAGATGGGACGTTACTCCAAGGACCAAGCTATGTAAGGGTTTTACCTTTGCTTTTATATCTGACTGTCATGTCCCTTGTATTCACTACATGTCTAGTTCCTTTGCAGCTCCACCCACATTATCTATGGAATAGGAAAGTAGGCTCTAGGCCGTGCAAGATCATCCTATCAAGGAGTTTGCAGCCCTTATATCCGCCGTGGGTCATCCCAGAGCCTCCCCTAGGCCTAAACGGAAAGGTATTTGATCTTCCAATAAACTTTGATGACTGTTATATTGAAGATTAATTTTCTTATACCAGTTTCACAGGTACCATTGTTGATACAACGATGGTGGAGGCTCTCTATGCTTTTAGGGTATTGTCTTTCCCTTTTACCAAAAGGGCAAAGACTGATGTCCAATGTCTCTTGGCGGTCCGACGACCATGCTATATCTCGAGAGGTTGGATCAGAGGGTGTCCCCACTCTTTCTCAGCACATAGCTCCTTCAAGTACTGGGGTTAGTCTGGCCACTACCTCGGGGGTTGAGACTCATGTGTGGCCTTTTGTTGGGACGGGGGTACCACGTTGTTGTCCAGCTTCTAGCAGTGGCTCGGTGTCCATGCTGCAGGACATGAATCTGGCCAAGGAGTAACTATGGAGAGGTCGATTCTTGGGACCTATAAGTCATTATTGACACCCCAATGGTGTGGTTTGCTATGATATGCTTTCCTCCTTTCTAGTTTTGATTTTTGCGCTTTGCCTTTTCTTTCTTGCTCTGCCCTTTGAATGCTTGTAAGTGGCTGCTACTTTTTCATGTATTTTTTCAAAGACAATCAAGTTTAGAGAGGCATCAAGAGATTTGGCAAAAGAGAGGCATGCACGAGAGGCTGCTGAGGAACAGTTGAGGCTAAAGAGGTAGGTACGAGAGGCTACTGAGGCACAGTTGAGGCTAACTCACAAGAGAGTTGCACCTTTTGAGGCCGAACTTTTGGCGTCCCACGAGAGGGCCACCCAGTTAGAGGCTGACAGAGAGACTACTTATAGGGGTGTTCACCTTACCCTATGGGTAGAAAATATGCTCTTCCGTCTTCCTACCCGATACTTTGTGAAAGAATTTTTTTTTGGCCTACTCTATCTGAAAGTTATGGTATTTCTACCCGATTAATCAGGTAGGAAGTCGGGTAAATATTTTTTTAATAATTAATTTTTGAATTATTTTAATAATTTAATTAAATAACATGCACCATTTATTTAGTTTTGTGCATCATCACTAGCCTTGGTTCCAAGGCCATTCCAACAAAACGCCACTCACCATACCATCACCATCCAAAAAAAAAATATATTTGAGAGAGAGAGGTGGTGTCTGCCCTTCAAAAAGAAAGACATATGCAAACAACATCCAACTAGAGGCCATATTTAGGTTCACTCGTAAGTATACACAAACAAAAAGACAATAGACAGATCTGCAACATAGGAACAAAGGCCAGGCCATCATGATCTACAACATAGGATAAAAACCCATGGATCTGTAACATAGGATCTGCAACTCAGATCAGATGCGAACAAATTGCACATTAATCTGTAACTTATGACCAGATTGCGCACAGCGACACCGATCTGTTACTGTAGATGAAGGTCTGCGATTAGACCTTCCAAGTCAGACCACACCTGTGAAACCTAGAAAAATTTGAACTTTTTCTTAGAAAGGGCAGAATGGTAATTTGTCATCCTAATATGTATATAAAATACTCATGTTCTAGACCTCGGATGAGAAAATGGAGTTAGCCGTTGGATTCGTATCGCAAAATCTAGTCACCTTGTCAAATTTCGTCGAATTTTGAGATAGTCAAATTTTTATACGTCGTTCGAGGCGATTGTGAGGCGAATGACATTTTAAAAGTCCCCAAAAATGAGTTTTTTTTTAAAATTAAGTTAAAGTTACAATAAAATTAATTTGAACTAAATCCAAGGTATAACGAATCGTTCTAGGACGAAAAACGGACCCGAAAGTCAGAATTATGCGGTGCAATTTGGACCACACATTAAAGGGGTATAAATAGGGGCAAATATCTGAAAAATCAGATATTTTCGCCCTCATTTTGAGTCTTGTTTGGCCGGCCAAAGAGAGGAAAGAAAAGAGAAGCTTTCTACCTCGGATCTTTGAATTTCCGTCACTCAGATCAACTCGGACCAAGAGCTATAGTTCATCTCCTCGACGAGGGTTACACATACGGACCAAAAAAAGTGGATTTCACCGAAGATCCAAGAGAAGATTTTGGAAAAAATTAAAGTTTTGAGATTGTTTTGGTGTTATAGAAGTTATCTACACTTCTATTGAGGTAGGGTTCTTCTTACCTTGATTTTATTCCTCTCATTTGGGGCTATTTTAGGGCCGATTTAGGGGCTAAAACTATGGACTGTTTTGGGGTTGAAATGATGGACCATTTTGGGTTAAAATATGGACTGCTATGTGGTTGTATTTTGGACCAAATTTGAAAATGTTTTATGGCATGTTTAGGGGCTATTTTGTGGTTGAATTTGGGATTGTTTTATGGTCTATTAATGGGTTGTTTTGTAGCTGAATTTGAGACTATTTTATGGCCTGTTTAGGGGTTGTTTTGTGGCCGAATTTGGGACTGTTTTATGACATGTTTAGGGGCTGTTTTGTGACTGAATTTGGGGCTGTCTTATGGCCTATATATGTTTTGTCACTTATATAAGGGCCTTTATGTGGGCTATTACATGGGCTATTTTGTATTATATTGCACCTTTGTGATTAAGTGTATTATTGACATAAAAATTGTGATAATATGCTTGAAATTGTGTTATGAAAATTGTCAATGTATGTACATGCTTGTGTTATATTGACATTGTGGAGAATAATGAGAATTATATGCTTATGATATAATTTTGTCATGGAATATGTAAAATGTATTGATATTGTTCATATGTCTTTCATAGCATATTGAATATGTTATAATTGTGCAATGAGACATTATATTGCATATGCATGGTAAAATCGCATCATGTGGGTGTGTGCATAGTTGTCGTCAACACCATACTTGGTGGATGACGAGTGGACTCTATTAAACTTGGTCGAAGACTTGGTCGAGTCGCACAGGTTTCATGATGATTAGGGTTGGGGTTAGCAAGGAGGGAGTAGAAGATCCCCCGGGTGCAAGACCCGGTGATTGGGATACGCACTCCCTTGGCTTGACCCATGAAGTGTGTGGGCGTACGTGGAGCCCTTGGTAGAAGTCCATAAATTTCGAGTAGGTTGGAGACCCTTGGTGTAAGCCCATGAACATTCACCACATACAAAGACCCTAGGTTGGTAAAAGTCATTTGATGTGCAATATAAATGACGATTCNAAATTTGAAAATGTTTTATGGCATGTTTAGGGGCTATTTTGTGGTTGAATTTGGGATTGTTTTATGGTCTATTAATGGGTTGTTTTGTAGCTGAATTTGAGACTATTTTATGGCCTGTTTAGGGGTTGTTTTGTGGCCGAATTTGGGACTGTTTTATGACATGTTTAGGGGCTGTTTTGTGACTGAATTTGGGGCTGTCTTATGGCCTATATATGTTTTGTCACTTATATAAGGGCCTTTATGTGGGCTATTACATGGGCTATTTTGTATTATATTGCACCTTTGTGATTAAGTGTATTATTGACATAAAAATTGTGATAATATGCTTGAAATTGTGTTATGAAAATTGTCAATGTATGTACATGCTTGTGTTATATTGACATTGTGGAGAATAATGAGAATTATATGCTTATGATATAATTTTGTCATGGAATATGTAAAATGTATTGATATTGTTCATATGTCTTTCATAGCATATTGAATATGTTATAATTGTGCAATGAGACATTATATTGCATATGCATGGTAAAATCGCATCATGTGGGTGTGTGCATAGTTGTCGTCAACACCATACTTGGTGGATGACGAGTGGACTCTATTAAACTTGGTCGAAGACTTGGTCGAGTCGCACAGGTTTCATGATGATTAGGGTTGGGGTTAGCAAGGAGGGAGTAGAAGATCCCCCGGGTGCAAGACCCGGTGATTGGGATACGCACTCCCTTGGCTTGACCCATGAAGTGTGTGGGCGTACGTGGAGCCCTTGGTAGAAGTCCATAAATTTCGAGTAGGTTGGAGACCCTTGGTGTAAGCCCATGAACATTCACCACATACAAAGACCCTAGGTTGGTAAAAGTCATTTGATGTGCAATATAAATGACGATTCCATACATATTGACACTTGCATGTGTTGAGGAGCTGGGAAGGGCTAGGGTTAATTTGCATGAGTGAGTCTCATCTCATTTCATGGCATGACATGATAAATTCCAACATTGAATGCATATTCTTACCTGGAATGTTGATGTAAATATGAAATGTTGTATGTAAGCATTGCACGTGTACTTAAGTGGGGAGTAGCCTCTGTAGGAATTACTCTACTAGGCGTGGCTCACTCTATACGGGAAAATATTTTAGGTTTTGGATACATACC